TTCTATCAGTGCCCTATCACTGGGTATTATTTTTGGAACATCCCCTCACTTCCTGTTCCTTCTTGAATGCAGTCAAGTATCATAGTTCTGAACAGCCTCACTCTGCTCCATGCTCTCTTTCCCTCCTTCTGCCAAGCATTTTTTTGGATAATAGAATATAGAATCTGGCCAAATTACAGAGCAAATCTCCCCTTCCCCCATTTCCTTTTAAAATAGATCATGTTTACTTAAAGGCCAGTTGAGTAGTTTCATGCAATCTTTCCATCAACAAGCTCCAACATTCTCTTTGTGGAATACCCATTAGAGACACATTGGTATGCCAGCATGGCATCACTAAGTGGTTTCACAATGACTCCTATGGGTATGAGCCACAGTACTAACAGCCCACCTGTTTTCTTGCTTGAAAACACCAATTCTCCTTCACATACAGTACAACTACTCCAACCTTTTCTCATAGCAAGATATATATACATACAAAACCCTGGGTTAGCAATGCATTTGTGGGCCAGGAAGGTTTAGCATTTTTAAGATACAAAGTTTCATTAACATCAACAACACTGAACAGAAGAATGGATAATGAAAAGAGTTTAGACTAGTATTATTGGTTCTCTTCGAGGGTGATACTAACAGGGTGATACTGCAGTTCTCTAAGTTCCACTGTCTACCAGCATTGAGATAGAAAGGAGTAGGTTTGATTAACTGAAAAGCTGAAAGTTCTACATATAATATGATCATATCAATCACATTTAATATTAGCACATAGCTGAAAACAATGAAGACAACCAAAATGAACCTCAAGTGAATTTTAACCTGGATTTAGAAGAATAGGTAATGAATAAGCTCAAAGATATCTACGAGGAGAGAGGGCTAGTCACCGTCAAAGCCCCACCAGTTTTTACTTGCATTATTACACTTTAACTTTTTTGATCCTCTTCCCCCAGAATATGTCCATGGATCAGATGATGGTTTGCAAGATAATTTGACTACATATCTTTATTGATTGATCTGCTCTTCCAAACTCCATAACAAATTACATGCATGTGCAAACACACACTCAGACACACAGGGAATATTTGATAAAGAGCTAATATTTTAATAAAGGAGGAAAAAGGCTTACAGCCAATTTTAAAAAAAACTATGTAAATTGAAAATCCATAGGAAATAAATGTAATAGTCAATAAATTAAAAGTAGGACAGTGGCAGCCATGTATTATTAATGTTATTCAATGTTATAACACTAAACAGGTTTGTTGTTTCTCATTTAAGAGGCACTAGGAATAAGGCTGTGAAAGCATCCTAATAGTTTAGTTCCAATGTACTTTGGTTTACTTATGAGCAAAGTTAAAATAGGAAGAGCCTACAAATCCAGACTTTAGATTTGATTAAAAGTTCATGTTGGACAGTTTTCCAGAGTATAATTAACCATTGTCAATGAACATAGCTATGTTGCAAAATGAAGCAATAATAGAAGGGACAGAACATGTATTTTACAGATGAACAATTAAAACCACAATGTTTAGCTTTCTTAGCTACAGAGAATATGAAATTAACTGCTTTGGAAAAAAGTTGAATAAAATATTGGATAAAACACATTGTCTCTGATGAGACTTCAGCTACTATAGTGGAATATATTATAAAGTGGGTGGTTTTTTTCATTAGTGCATCAGAGGTATATAGCCTCTTAAAATGCAATTCTGTTTAACAAAAGGGGCAGATAAATCATATAAAACAAGTCAGGTAGTTGTTCAAGTGTCCATTAATAGGCACCAATAAAATTAGCTTGACATTCCAATTAATTACATTAACTAAATTCCATAGGTATGGATTTATAGATGTATCTGTGCTTTTTTGTAAAGGCAGGGTTGCTTGTGAAATTCCATGTTAGTAAGTTTTTTCAGCTCAAAGCTTAAATTCTCTAACCCTGTATTTATTCTGTGATATGATAATTTATCAATTATGGGATAAAATTCTTCTATTTCTATAAGATGGTATCATCATCATCATCATCCCAATGTTCATATATTTTAAACATATAAATGTTGAATATAAGAAATGTTATAATACATAATCATTTTTATACATTCAAAACTCAGTAAGAAAAATATTCATTATGAAATCAATGTAGGACAAGAAGTAGCAGATTAATATCAGTCATGAAAGACCAGGATCACATGTAAAGTTCCAATTAAACTTATTTACTATTAATCATGCCAATGCACATGAATCTACTCAACTAAAGGTTAGCACTATATTGGCATTAGATAAGGCTCAACAGAATTCAAAAGGGGTGGAGTTAATCCATTTGTGGCTACGTAGAGACTCTAGGCTTTTCCTTTTTTGACTTCGCCCTCAGGTTTTGTAACTTCTTCTCCTACAAACAGTAAGGCAAAACACTGCCCAAGGGTAGTTTCCAGGGGTGGGCTTCAAATTTTTTTAGCAACCAGTTCTCTGCCTGGTTGCTGGGTGGGTGTGGTGGGTGTGGCCTAGGTGGCCCCCTGCGGGGGGGGGGGGGGGGGGGCGTTTTCATCCTCTCCGGGCTCTGGAGGCTTTCCTCGAGTCTATGGGAGGGAGAAAACAGGGTCCCCAGGCTCCAGAGGCCCTCTGAAGGCCAGAAACGGGTCTGTTTCTGGCCTTCTGGAGCCTCCAGGAGACCTGTTTTTCCCCCATCCACGAGCCTCCACACAGGCCCTGCACTTACCTGGCATCCAAAACAAGCTGCATGGAGACTCCTGGGAGGAGACGGGCAAGTTGGATGAGGCCAGCCAGGGGTGGGATTTGCTGGTTCACCGAACCAGCCATAAAATTAGCTACCGGTTAGCTAAGGGTTTGTCCAAACCAGAGCAAACCGGTAATAGCCCACCCCTGGTGGTTTCAAGAAGCTAACATAATGGCTTAATGAAAATCATTTTTTTTTCAATATATAAAACAAATATTATACAGATTTTTTTAAAAAAGAAAAACTTCACCTACTATATGGAAACAAAGTTATATAAGTTTGGTTAACAACATGTAAACTAGGACCATCACTTTCAAAGTCAAATCATTGCATTCCCAGAACCCAGGAAAACATCTTTCACTGCATCCTCTAAGACAGCAGCTCTCGAAGTATTATCTGGGGACACTGAAGGTCTCCAAAACTCTTTTATCCACAAAGTCAAATAATTAAATATTTGAAAATTTCTCAGCTTTAATTTCTAGTACAATAAATATTGATATATATATATATATATTTGAATAATCCTTGACTTATGTTTGTAATGGAGGATGGAATTGTGATTGAAAGTCACTGTTGTCATAAGTCAAGGCATCCATATGACTGAAAGTAATTTTCCAGCCTGTTTTGCAGTGATCATTAAGCAAATGCCACAGTAATTAAGCAAATCAATTTGTTGCTGGAAACTGACAAAAAACATAGTGAATTGCAGTCATGTGTGGATCCTCAATCATTTTTAAGAATGTAAAGGTTTGAGAACTGCTGCTCCAAGATATGCTTAATGGGAAAAATTGAGACACACAAATCTAGCCAATGGACTACCTGCTTTTTCTCACTACCGTGTTTCTCACAAAATAAGGCTGGGCCTTATTTTTTTTGGACCCCTGAAAAAACGGCTAGGCCGTCTTTTTGGGGGTGACTTAATTTCCTCCCCCACCTAGAGCGGCCCATACGCATGTACCTCGCCGCGAGGCCGCTTCAATCGGCCGACAAAAGCTCCCCGAAGGCAGAGTCCCCAGCTGCTTCAGGGCGTGGCGTGGCTGCCCGTGTCCCTTCGCCTTTAGGCAGTCTCTTTCGGGCGATGGAAGCTCCCCAAATGCAGTCACCAGCCACTTTGATTGGCTGGTAGAAGCGGCCTTGGGTCGAGCACACACACACACACACACACACACTCCCCTTGCTACGAGGCTGCTTCTATTGGCAGATGAAAGCTCCCTTGAAGGCAGAGTCCCCAGCCACTTCAGGGCGAGGCATGGCTGCCCATGTCCCTTCACCTTTAGGCAGTCTCTTTTGGGTGATGGAAGCTCCCCAAATGCAGTCACCAGCCACTTCAATCGGCCGGTAGAAGCAGCCTCGTAGCGAAGGGAGTGTGTGTGTGCGCTCGCCCCGAGGCCGCTTTCACCGGCCGATCAAAGTGGCTGGTGACTGCATTTGGAGAGCTTCCATCGCCCGAAAGAGACTGCTTAAAGGCGAGGGGACACGGGCAGCCATGCCTTGCCCCAAAGCAGCTGGGGACTCTGCCTTCAAGGGAGCTTTCGTCTGCTGATAGAAGCGGCCTCGTGGCAAGGGGAGTGTGTGTGTGTGTGTGTGTGTGTGCACGCGCTTGCCCCGAGGCCTCTTCTACCAGCCGATCGAAGTGGCTGGTGACTGCATTTGGGAAGCTTCCATCGCCCGAAAGAGACTGCCTAAAGGCGAGGGGACATGGGTAGCCACGCCATGCCCTGAAGCGGCTGGGGACTCTGCCTTCAGGGAGCTTCTATCGGCTATCAGGGTATTCTAGCCTAGGCTACCTGCAGGGCATTCCTAAAGGCAAGTTTTCTCCCCATCCCCCGCCCTTCCCCTGCCCATTTCTCTTCACTTCGTGTAGTTCTAACGAATGATGTGAGAAATGGCGGGGAAACGCATGGTTTAAATAGGCCTAAATTTTGGGGGCGGGGCTTAATTTCACCTCATGCCTAGAAATCATGCTGGGCCTTCCTATTGGTGGAGGCTGTATTGTTGGAGAAACACAGTATTATTAAAAATAGGTTATAAAAAGCACATGTTAGTCAGGGATCACTGAGGTGGCTGGCTGCCTCTGTAAAAGGAATTTTTTTGGGCAGTGTTATCTTTACTCGCGGGATGTCTGAATGCTGGTAGGCATTTGGGGGAAGCTCCTTTCTTGTCCCTGCATGGTTTATTTGCTCACGGGAATCAAGCCGCCAACCTCAGTGGTGCACAGACCCAGAGTGACCCCCTTACATTGTTATAATTTACAGAATATAATTCAATATAGATTTTATTTTACCATAGCTCCAAACATCTGTCTGGTGTGTGAATTTCCTATAATGTATACATTCAAGAGCCATCCATTTTATTGGCATCTAGAATGAAAAAAGGGGGGAAATAAAATCAGTTAGCAAGCATATTTCCCTATTAAATGTCTTTCAAATCAAAGTGAAAAATGAGATTTTCAATTTCATATTCCAAAAGTATTGCCATTGGTCATCCTTTCAAAGATACCAGTTTCCTTACCTGATACCTCAACGCCTTCAACAATGGCAAAATTTCTAATGTATCTACCTCATTTGAGGTACGTTGGTTGAAAAAGTTTTTCCCTAGGATGCACTATTTCACCCAGTCAAAGAGTTCAGACATAAGAGTTTTTGTTAGTGTACTGATTACACCCCTGGAGCAGGAACAAATATTTTATGTCTCTAAAAAGTAGAACTTAGATATATATGAGCCATGGCCTCTGAAACAAAATTGACTCAAAAAGGCACATTTTTAAGGTAAGTTCTGGTTGGTACACATTATAAATTATAGATTAACAGGTAAAAGAAAGTGGATAGACATTAACATTAAGGATTAGCTGTATTTTGACTTGATTTTTTTAAAAATAAATGTAGGGAAGAGAAACTTGGTTCATGAAAGCAATAAATATGCATTCATTAATTTTTTTAATATCTTTTTTTTTTTAACCATGATCACTTTCCCATTTTATGTTGGGTGTTAATGGCCTGGTCTATTTTATGAGTTTAAAGAAACCTACCTTTCCACCATCAGCACTATATTCCTTCTCATCACCTTCCAGTAGCCTAGCCAGGCCAAAGTCTGTGATCTTCACATGATTTGGAGACTTCACCAAGACATTTCGTGCTGCTAAATCTCGATGAACCAGTCTCCTCTCTTCCAGGTACATCATTCCCTAACAAGCAAAACCACGAAAATGTGTTTGTTATATAATGGTTATCTGTGTAATAGGTATTAGAGCTGTCTTACAAGCAGCCATTTATTTATTTATTTCATCCATTTCCACCGTTTTTCAGGTTTGTTTATTTATTTACTATATATAACTAATGAATCTGTTTTCCTCCATTCAATCACATCTGGTTCTCAGCCTGGAAAAGTTCCTACAATTTTTTTGGCAAGGTTTTTTAGAAGTGGCTTGCCATGGCCTCCTTTTTTAGGGCTGAGAGAAAGTGACTGGCTCAAAATCACCCAGCTGGCCTTGTGCCCAAGGAGGAACTAGAACTCCTGAACTCCCAATTTCTAGACTGTTGTGTTAACTACTACATCCAACTGGTTCTCTTAATGGAATAATATACAAAATATAATGTGTGATTAGATAGGCTTTTTAAAATTTCTTAAACATAGCCATGAATTGTATCAGGATATTTCAGGAGGGAACTTCATAAGATTGCCACAAAGAAAGCCCTTTTCTGGTGACTGCCCACTAGTTGATTATGGTGATGTGCTATTGCCCAGGGGCTTCAAACAATCTTATTCAGCAAATTCACTTGGGTATAGGAGATCCTTCAAGTAAACTGGATTGAAACTGTTTTGATTTATTTTTAATATTAAATATTGCACCACAAAACAAACTTACAAGCAGTATACTTCATACAAAACAAGTTTAATGTGATCTGATTATTTCTTCCACCTGTCCCCACAGATATAAAAGAGCCACATTTTAGGCAATTTCTGAGTCATCTTGAAAGGCGGTCTCATATACAGATTATAAAAGTCAATTCTAGATGTAATTAGATCATGCAAAATTGAGATCACATCACTTGACCTAGTTGAGTTCAGAGCTGATGAACTAAAACAGATAGAAAAACACCTCTAGCAGCAGTATTTATCCAAATAGGACAAGTCCAGAAGGACTTTGTGTTACAATCTGGTCCTTCAGGAAAAGTATTTCAGGAAAAATGAAGTCCTATTAAATACCAGTTTAATTATTGAAGTTATACTTGCCATTTTCCATATCTAAGTTTTAGCTTTTTTATTCTCAATATATCTAATATTGCCTCTAAACACTGTTTATGAGATCCATAATCTTCCTGGAATTGTTGATACTGCAGTCCAAACTTCAGAACACCATCAGTTACTGGCTTGACATAGATACTATGTGATATTATAGCATGTAAAATAAAATAGAATACTGTGCTAAAGACCACTGGGTAGATCATTTTCCCCCTCCCCTTTCATCCCACTCCCCAATTTATTCTGAATGATTTTACAAAGTTTTAGAGCTAATTAGGATAGAAGAGGAAATCAGTCTTCCAATTTTACAAGTAGCAGAGAAGGCGGCAGAATGCCAGCACCAGAAACCCTTAAGATGTATGGTTAAAATCAGCCACAAGGCTTTGAAAACATGAATCCTCTTCCAAGAAAACTAACATTGCTACCTAACAATCCATTAGTGTAGTTTGTTTTTTATTTATTATAGTGTCCTTTTCTTCTCAGTTCAGTGACAATCTCCTTCTTTCACATCTGTATCTACAGAGACATGCTGATGTCTTCAGCATAAAATAGCCCCCCAAATTCTCAATACTGAATTGGTTTAATCCAAACACTCTTGATTAGCTTACAGTTATTGAATCACAGAATTCAAGGGGTGTTGGAAGGGATTCTAGTTTAGACCATCAAGTAGGAATGCAAATTAAAGCATCCCAACAGATATCTAGCGTCTCCACATCAGCAAATCCTATGAAAGGGTAATTGGTTGCAATGTGAAACTGTCTGATTGGGTGTAACCAAAAATACTTTTAAAAGACGCTAATTCCTCACAGGCAAGGTTTTCAGAATAAAGGGCACACCAAACTGAGCAACAAAAGCTACCCTAAACAAAGCATATCATGACTTAATCTTAAGAGATTCAGAATGGTAACCATAACAGTGCAGCAATGTGAGAGTCAAGATCCCAGGTAGTGCAGTGATAAATGGGATAGCTTAGGCCCACATTCTCTGTCAGGGTTACTATAGGAACTTTGAATCAGTTAATATCTCTTAGTCCAATCTTATCTCATTGGAAGACTGTCATGGGGGGGGGGGGAGTAAATGTAGGGAATAAAACCTTTTGTAACAAATGGAATATTAAAATAATTAATGCAAAAGGCCTCCAAATATTTCTTTCTTTTTTCATTTTTTTAACTAAGTTGTGGTTTAATAGGGCTCTATATATGCAGATACTTAAAAACTGTACATCGCTGCCCTTGTGACCTTCAGCACATTATTTCATGCTATGCCTCAAAAGCATTTCTATTACACTAAGCTACTTGAAAATAAAAGTTACCAAGATAATTGCACAAATTGTTTTTAAAAGAAAAATTACATTTCTAGAAGTATAAGTATAGATAAATATAGCTGTGTTGCAGGAAAACAGGTTGATGGCTATTATAAAGATATTTTACTAGGTGTTCTGAAGAAGAAATTTATATGAAGGTTCTTGAAATAAATAAAGAATAATAATCAGAATTTTGCTCATGTTTTCATTTATTACAATAGATTTTACAGTATTTGACTTGAAGAGGGTTAAAAAAATACTTTGGACAAAAAATACACTATATTATTTTCACATGGCTTTAATGGGACAAAACAAGCACATTCTCTCTTGCCAGTTGCAAATCAATGCTGCTAGCTATTCAATGGCAGAGATATAGAAAATTGAAGGATTAGCCTTTCTGATATCAAACCTAAATCTCTAAAACACACAGACACACAGAAACACACACAAAGGGTGAGATGTTGGAGATCTATACAGTATGCACCTCATAAGCAAAAAATAGCAGATAGGTTTAGATAGTCCCTGGAGCCAAATATTAACATGGTAGAACCACAAATATGTCAAGACTCTACAGTCTAATTAGGCCACAATCCACCCAGAAGTAGTCCTGTGGAAATTAACAAGTGCTGAATTAGTAATGAGAAACTTGGAGTAAAGGACATGCAGAAACATGCAAAATAGAATACCAATATTTAACTGGGTTTTTCTATCCTCCTTTTTGTTTAATATGCAAAATTCTAATTCAGCATTATTCTTTAACTTTGTTCCCTGTTTGCTTCTCCATTCATTTATTTGTTTTAAGAAGGCATCGCATCTCTGGTTCTGATGGGCCTATAGCCAAATGTAGATGGATAGGAATGAGAAAATCAGCAAACAGGACAGACAGGTGGATGCATTGATAGTGGAAGCACATGAGGTCATAAGATCAGTGTCAGATAAACAGCATGCAGTAGTCTACCATTCCTCCTAACTCACTATTTGATGCAAGAAGCTCCCCTTTGCTCATGGGCAGCAGTTATCTTGTAACAGTGCAGTTCTTTACTCTAAACATATTTAATTTAGCTTCCATTCCAAGATAATGGCAAATAGTAAACACTTTACTATTGCATCTCGTCTTAAAAACTGTCACAGTAAACTACATATTGATTTTTCTCAGCATCCTATTAAGGAAGTTTGAGAGTGTCTGAGCACACACAAAAATAAACAAAAGTACTGTTATACTAAAACTCAAAACAAAATTGGTCAAAATAAAGAAACCAGAAAAGGAAGGTTAAGCTATTTACTGTTGTTCACTGAGGCTGTTGTTTAGGTATCTCTTGCCTTGGGTGTTTAATTTGACATTTCAAGCATGATAAACATGGCATTACATCTCCCTTTACAGGAAGCATAAACAATTAAGCAATCTATGAATTTTATGGAATAAATTTACATATATACAAGCCAAAAAACACATAAGAATTCCAAGGAAATATTCCTGCAATAACAAAAAATAATCACAATGGAAAGCTGGGCCTATTCAGTCTTCAAATATTCTGAAATGTATGACATGAGGGGATAGTCATGGTGAATCCTAGTTTAAATATGTTTGAATAAGGGTAAATTTGAAAACTAAAGAAAACCTCGGCAAAAACAATGCTGCCACCTTCTCACTCGCAATATTTTCTGAAGAAAATATTAGGCTAAGCAGAATTCAAGAGTGGAAGATTTTAACCTATTAATTTATTTTTTAGATCTAATAACAATTACAAGCTAGATAATAACTGAAGCGCAAACTTAACTTACTGCTATGAAAAATATTGGACTTTCATGGTTTTTATATTTGAATGTAGGAATTCTTCAACTTACAGAATATCTCTTTTCTCAAGGCAAGGACATATCTTTTCACAGGTAGTTACAAAATTCCTAAAAGATGTGTTAGGCCAGGAAAACTGCTAATATGCCATGAGGAATAAATTATTTGAAAGATATAATTTTCTTTCACATAAAGATTCCTAGAGAAAGCAAATTACTATATGACCCATAGACTCTTTCAATTAATCTTCAACTATGGCTAGGTATAAAGTAGGGCCAGAATTATCTGTCAACATTGACTGTAGTACCTAATGTAGGTAGTTATTTTCTTGGTATCTCTTTGTCATCCTTTCCTTTCTTGTAGCAGCAGTAACTAATCTGTTAAATGCTGTCATTTATCATCAGTCTTTTGGTCAAAATGTAAATTAAAAGCATATATCTACCACTTGCCTTCTAACTGACACATAAGAATGAGCTCAAACTATAATACTGCTCATCATTATCAAGTTTTCCTTGCTGAGCATATCATTACAAGGACAACTGCTGCTGAAATCCTCCAGTATTGAATCATTCCTTGAAACAGAGCCTAAAGACATTAAAAAGTCAAGCACACATCGCCAGCAGTTGTAATAAAAGTCATATTGAGGTACTATCATTGGAATCTTCACATGAAAAAAATAATATATTAAATAGCAAGAACAGCCAATATATAGTTATCTCAAATTGCCCTTCTAAAAGAGGACAAATCCACAACTTCTCTTTTCTTTTGATTTGTTTACACTGACATAAGCAACAGAATCAAAATACTAGGGTTGAAATCCCAGCCTACATCTGATGTGGCAAAGGAG